TCGGGACTTATTCACAAATGAATGAAATTATTTTAGAAATGTTTTCAGAAATTCTTGATAAAAATATTTTTATATCTATTACAACTTCAGAGAGGAATTTATGAATATCAAACAGAAGATTTTAGGATTTCAAACTACTTTCCTTCAAGATAATATGCAACATTGTAAACTCTGCTAAGGAATTACTGTCTCCCCCATCTCAATCATTTTCTCTTTTATCGCGATAATTGTCTCTAGGAAGAAGTCTCTAGAATTAAATTGCAAATAGATTCTTCTTAATGCCAGAAAAGACAAATTCAAAATGTATAAGACTTTTTTATCGTATTGGAGAAATATTAAGTGATTTTTAAGTAAGTTAACATTTTTTTAATTTTAATTATTTTATCATTATTATATAGGTACCTCCAAAGATTTGCTAAAAATGAGCATACATGATGAAAAAATGCCTCAAACTTAAAAAAAAAAAATTTTATCGTCAAAAGCTTTGTTATTATTAAGAAGGAAGACCAAAGGATTTTTTGACTATGAAATTATTATTCTTTAGAACCTTCGAAATTTTTTTTTTTTTTTTTTTTTTTTTTTTTTGCATCAGCGGGTGAATATAAATTATGGGAAATTTGTGTATCTTTTTGCAATGAAAAATACACTGATTTGGAAATTCTTGCAAAAATCAAATAATTGTCGGATTTTGATAAAACTCTCAGGATTTATTCACAAATGAATTAAGTTATTTTAGAAATGTTTTTTTAGAAAATCTTGGTAAAAATATTTTTTATATCTATTACAACTTCAGAGTCCAATATCCAAAATTGCTTTCCTTCAAGATAATATGCAACATTGTAAACTCTGCTAAGGAATTACTGTCTCCTCCATCTCAATTAATTTCTCTTTTATCGCGATAATTGTCTCTAGGATGAAGTCTCTAGAATTAAGAAAGACCTCAAATTAAATTGCAAATAGATCCTTCTTAAAGCCAGAAGAGACAAGTTCAAAATGTATAAAACATTTTTATCTTATTGAAAAAAGATTGCTTCATCTGAGAGGAACTTTTTTCTATACAATATTTTCTTTTCTTAATTATGTTTAATTTCTTTTCTGTGAATCATAAAATCGATAAAATATTTTTTATTACTTCATGAACATACAGATACCGAAATATTATATTTTATCTCTATTGATATAGTATGAATGAAATTATTATTTACATATATGCCGGTACTTCCAAAGATTCGCTAAAAAAATGGACATACATGATGAAAAAAATGTCCCAAACTTCATAAAAAAAGTTTTATCGTCAAAATCTTTGTTATTATTAAGAGAAAAGAGCAAACGATGTTTTTCTGTTCCTAAACTAGTTGCCAACCAAGGCTATAGGGCCGAATCTGTTCTGCTATTTTACCCGTATTTGGGGGAAGGGTGAATGGAATTCGAACTGTGACCTCCAATTTCTATATCCAATCCGCTATCCATCACTTTACTGTCCCTCTGTATTTAGATACGTACACTACATAAATATTGTACATTTTAAAGGCAAACAATTTTTTGGAAAGTCCTAGAAACAGATTGTTTTGGTCTGTTTGCTTGCTTACAAAAATCAGCATGCGTCATCCTGTTTTTTTTTGGTGGGGGGGGTTGTTTTTTTGATTTTTTTTTGTTTTTTTTTTTGTTTTTTTATGTTTTTTTGTTTGTTTTGTTTCTTTGTTTGTTTTGTTTTTTTGTTTGTTTGTTTTTTAGCTTGATTCAAACGCAGTCAGCAGAACACAAAATATATTGGCCACCAAGGAAGACGGAGAAAATCAGAGAGAAATAGTGAGAATAGATTATTCTGAAAGCAAGCGAAAAACTTTTTTTATATATAAATATAACTAGTTACATTCAAAGATTCGCTAAAATATGAGCATACATGATGAAAAAATGCCTCAAACTTAATAAAAACAAAGTTTTATCGTCAAAATATTTAAGTTATGAAGAGAAAAAAAAACAAAGGATATTTTATGGTAAAAAACGGAAGGATTTTGAAATTCTTGAAAAAATCAAATAATTGTTGGATTTTAATAAAAATTCCAGGACTTATTTAAAAATGAATTAAATATTTTAGAATTATTTAGAAACATTTCTTTAATTTCTTACTGCCCCTATTTTCACTTATTTAATTTAATGAAATTTCGAAAAATTCATATTTGTACAGCTTATTGTGTAAACGCAGGATTTCATGGCGTATTTAAATCATCAGTTTTTTTTAAGTTTTTTTGCTAAACAGGACCCCCATTTACCGAAAATCTGCTCTGAATTCAATAAAACCAAGACATTGTTTAATTAGAAAAACTTTTAATTGCTTTAATGAATAAGATGTGTTATCGTATTATCGACACGATTTTCGACGAATAATTAAGTTTTACAAGAATTGTTTTCATTTTTTTAATACAATAATTTATTCATAAAGTTTTAAATCTTTTAAAATTATGTATTAATTTATACCGGTTAGGTGATATTGTTATTAAGTAAAAAATATGTATATTTACTATTCATAAAGGGAAAAGCCTACTACAATTCAGCTACTCCCAGTATTTTAAAAAAAAATTTGAATTTTTTTGTGTACGAATAAGCATGCCAATTTTTTGTAAATATGGACGTCCATAGACGACATTGCCGGAAAATAAGAGCGCGGTAACAACAGTAAATTTAAAGCCAAATAACCTAAAATTCAATAAAACAATACATTACGGGGAATATTTTCCTAAATTTTTATTATTACTGGATAGTTAAAAATTATATAAAAAGGTGCTCATGTTACATTCCTCAAGTAATTTTTACAGATAAGTCCCCCGTAGAAAAAAATGAGTTACATTTACGTCAGTCAATAGAGCTGAGAAGCTGTCAATCAATAGAGTTGTTAACACTTCATAAAAATATTCACCTCCATGTTAAAAAATGCAATTCTCTCTCTCTCTCTCTCTCTTTCTCTCTCTCTCTCTCTCTCTCACACACACACACATATATATATCTTTCGTAGGAAGCTTTTCCATTTATAATTAATTAGTAAGTATAGTTTTGACTTAATAACAATTTAATTACTTAAACGATGCAAGTTAATACAGAATTTTAAAAGATTTAAACCTTTATAAATTATTATAAATCAATTTTAAAAAATGAAAGCATTTTTTGCAAAAATTCATTGTTCGTGGAAAAAAAATTTCTTTAGAAAATAGTTTCGATAATATATCTTATTCATAAAAGCAGATAAAATTTTTCTAATTGAATAATGTCTTGGTTTTATTGCATTTTTTATTTTCCGATTCAGAGAAGATTTTCGCTTGCAGTTGAAAATTCTCCACGGAATACTGGTTAAAATTAATATAAACATTAAACGTAAGTCCCACAAAAATCAATTTCTCGAAATTTCATTTAAATCAAATAAGTGGTAGCTAGCAAATGTAAAAAAAATACTATTTACATTATTCGGAATATTGTCCTTATCTTTGTCGCCATATTTATTACAACGTTTCGGCCGTTGTACGCTCCGGCCTTCTTCAGTTGGTTGGAATGTCGAACCAAACTGGGGTAGACTGTTCTAGTTCCACGTGCCATGTCTAATGGAAGTCAGTTATCAGTTATCTTGTGTTAATTCCCCTCTCCAAGTTCTCCAGCGCCTTAACCAGACATCACACTCTTTGCGTCCTGTCACTGAATCTAACTAACGCCTTTATCCACTGTGCCATGTATTCTTGAGGACATCTGTGTATGAATTTCTGGTTATTATAAACCTAATGTCTTCTTCCCGTTTTTACCGGTGCTCATATTGCAATTTTTGCTGTGGGATCAGGTTGAAATCATAGACAAAGAACACCATTGGAAAATTCGTAAACTTAAGGAATCAGCACATATGCTAGGCCACAAAAATCTCCTGAGCCGACCAAGCATAGAAATGAATACAATATGAGAACCAGTAATAAGGAGTGCCAGAGAAAAGCGATAATAACAACAAAAATTGCAATATGAGCTCTGGTAAAAACATGTTTGATAACAGCAAAAATGTTCGGTTCAACATTCCAACCACCTGAAGAAGGCCGGAGCGTACAACAACCGAAACGTTGTAGTAAATATGGCAACAAAGGTGAGGGCAATAGTCCGAATAATGTAAATAATGTACATAATACCTCATCTCAGAAATATACACAAATACTGAAGAAGGACGGAGCGTACAACGGCCGAAACGTTGTAATAAATATGGCAGCAAAGGTGAGGACAATAGTCCGAATAATGTTAATAATGTACATAGTACCTCATCTCAGAAATATAGACAGATACTAGACCAAAAATGTTGAAGATAAAACTTTGTTTTTATTAAGTTTGGGATAATTTTTCATGTTACAGTTACTCTCTCTATTTTTTTCCTTATTTTTTTCGCCAATATTTGGAGTTAACTTGATTTAACATTTGCTCCGTTTCGCTTCGTTTAAAATGAGTTATGCTGAAGAAAAATTAATTTGTTTTTATAAATCAGTGGGTCAGATTGTCAATTGGAGGCACACTTAAACGAGGTGTGGTGTTTTTCTACGTGTTAGTAGCAGTAGCAGTAATATCGTTTGCCTTCCTTTACTTTTAGCGGAACTAAAATGAATTTTGATTCGTCAAATGAAAGCCGGGGAATTCCCGTCAAATTATAGTAACATGGGAAATCTTTATTTTTGTGCGTTGGTCATGTTTAATATATGCTTTGGTAGGAGGCCAATACAGAGCACAATTTTGTGGACGGAGTGATAAAAAGCCATTCTGAGTAAACACAACAAAATAAATTTTAAAAAGATTATTGAAACATATCACAAAGGAAGTGACGGTTACTATTTAAAAAAAGAAAGAAATCGTATCTATTTATTCTACACAAATTAAGTGTGGAAGGAACTGAGAACAACAGCTGTCTTCATAACCTATTTTCGTCTGCTTGTTTGTTCTCGCTAGCTAACCCAGCATCCTTTCTTTTTCTACTCGTTCATATTGCAATGCATATTCTTAAACGAATGGCTCCTCGGCATCATCAACAACAAATTCATTGCGATTCAGGAGAAGGTAATCGTGTTTGTGGTAGTGTAGCACTGGAAATTGGAAAAGACTTTCTACTACCAGATTCTTCTGTAATGCCCGAAGGTGATAACGCATTTACGGGAACATCTTCATCATCATCATCATCATCGCCCTTTAGAGCAGACTCTCAGTCTCAGGTAAATAAAGTAAAAATAATTTTCGATTTAACAGATTATTATTATTATTATTATTATTATTATCATCATCATCACTGTCCTAATCCTCCTCATCATCATCAATTTGGGGGTTAACACAATTTTTCAGTATATGTCCTAGGTAATTTCTAGTTAGCAAGCATGGGTCCTGTGCAGCAAGAAGAATAAAATCTGGTTTCAGCTTTTAACCCTGCCCTACCCAGTCCCAGATAGGTAGATTTGTTTCCATCAGCTTGTTTGGTACGAGCAAAATATTGACCGTGAAGAGGTTTATCTTGCCATCGTTTCTGTATCTGGTCCATTGCATTTGCTTTTGTTTTCTTTTTTAAGTTTTTGTTGTTATTATTATTATTATTATTATTATTATTATTATTTCCTTTGATTTCTGGTGTGTACTCTCTTATTTCTGCTCTAATTCAACCCAAAATAAAAAGAATTTTTATCTCCTAAAATTCATACCAAATTCTCCCTGAACGAGGCCCTTCCATTGTATTGCGATTGGGTTGACCTTTGCAATCGCACCAAATGTGGGCGACTCAGTGGGGGGGGGGCTATTTTAAAGTGTGGGGTTAGCGTTCGCGCTCACCCCGATAAACAAGCCAAAAACAGAATGTTTTTTTTTTCTTTTTATTATTTCTTGAGGTGAATTAATATTTGCAATAAGTAACTTTACATTATTTTGGGTAAATTAATCGAAGAGATTCCCTCATTTCTTTCTGGGCCCCAACAAAAAAAAAAAAAAAAAAAAAAAAAAAAAAAACTAAGATCAAAAATGGCATCATGATATTTTCCACTGAGCATTTTAGGAATAAATAAATAAATAAAAATAAAGCCACCTAAGATCACACACAATTTGCATACATATATACATTTGTAAGGTGTGAAGAACTGTACTTGTAAGAATAATTTTTTGTATTCTTTTAAGGTATGAGCTACCAGGGTCCCTTCAATGTGTCTATCAGTACCTTTTCCAATCAAACCGAGGATCCCAACAATAACTGAAATTATTGATGTCTTCATGTGCCACTTTATTATTATTATTATTATTATTATTATTATTATTATTATTATTTCCTTTAATTTCTAGCGTGTACACATTTCTTTTCGGGTCCCGCCCAGAGACCTAAGGTTAGAAATGGCATCATGACACTTTCAACTGAAAAAAAAAATTACATAGATAAAGCCCTTCGTAAAGTGTGGGCTGTACTTGTCAGAACAATTTTTTGTATTTCTTTGAGGCATAGACTTCCAGGAATCCCTTCAATTAGTCTACTGGAATCTTTCCGAACCAATCCTAGGTCTCCAACTACAACAGGTATTGTTATTGTTCCCATGTGCCACATTTCTGAAATTTCGATCTCAAGGTCCTTGTGTTTTGACAGCTTTTTGAATATCTTCAAAAATACATTGCAGTCTACAGGGACTGACATATCAATAAGGCGGCAATTTTTTGTTTGTGGTCTTTAATAACAATGTATTATTATTATTATTATTATTATTATTTCATTTCATTTTTGTTGCATACTTATTATTTTTTTTTCTCGAGTCCCAACCAGGCTAAAAGAAAGTCCTCTCAAAAGTGTTGCTGAGCCTCTTATATTGAGAGAGTTTTTTCAGATTATGTGAACGGTGTTCCTTGGCCCATGTTTTTTTTTTTTTGTTTTATTTGCCTGAGATTTTCTTAATGAGTGTATCAATATTCTTTTTAATCATTCCTGGTGTTCCTATTATTACTGGAATAGTAGTTGTTAAGTCAAATGCTACATACTTACAATTTCTACTTCCATATGTTTATACTTTGAAAATTCTTTGTTGAAATATTTTTTGCCTGACGTGGCCTTGTCTATGAGATATTATTATTATTATTATTATTATTATTATTATTATTATTATTTCCTTTGATTTCTGGTGTGTACTCATTTCTCTACGGATCCCAACCAGAGATCTAAGGCCAGAAATGGCATCATGACATTTTCCACTGAGCAATTAAAAAAACAAAACAACATATTTTACATAGATAAAGCCCTTTGTAAGGTGTGAACTGTACACATGAGAACACTTTTTGTATTTATTTAGGGCATGGGCTTCCAGGAATCCCTTCTACGTGTCTATTGGAATCTTTTCCAATCAATCTGAGGGCTCCAAGTACAACGGGGATTGCTGATGTCCTCATGCGCCACATTATTATTATTATTATTATTATTATTATTATTTCCTTTGATTTTTGGTGTCCCTACCAGAGACCTAAGGTCAGAAAGGGCATCATAACTTTTTCCACTGAGCAATTTTGAAAACAAATATTATTATTATTATTATTATTATTATTATTATTATTATTATTATTTCATGTATCCATATTACTACCAGATCTCTGCTGGTTATCACTGAAAATTGAGAATTAACGCATCATGTATAATACATTTTAGCGTTTCAAACGAGTTCTACATTCCAACACTGTTGTATTTCTCTTACATCGTATGTAAATTTTCTTTAACGAGATTTGTATCTTGACCCTTGATATATGCTAATCGCCGTGTTGCAGTGGTTAGCGTGGCTATTCTGACTGACCATTAGTTAGTAGTGATTACGAACCTCACTGTGTGCTCCAAATAAAATTTAACAAGAAATAACTCAACAAGAGTTAACTTGTTGTAAAATCAACCAACCAGTCAAGAGCCACAAAATAAAATGAAAAACTAGCGTTCAAGATGCAACAATTTGTTTCGACCCCCTATTTTGTGCAGGTGATACAATGAGTAGTGGCTGGTAACGAGAAATCGGAGAGCCGAGTTCGAATTCTAGTCGAGTTTCCGTTACATTAAAACGCTTGAGAAAGGTATGAATCCATCCTTTCTCTCCTCAGTTATGAGCTAAATAGTAGCGCCGATTGAGCTCTTCAGCTTTGGCTGTTAACCAATCTAGGAGAAGGACAACTCTGAACTGAAAAGCATATATATATATCGCCTTGGCAAAACACATGCTACATGCAGTTAACGAAAGGATCGTGGAAGTTACAATGTCTGATCCCAGCTACGGCCGGTCTTCCGCTACGCAAGTAAAATTGAAACATCTTTTAACAAATAAGTTGGAGGCTCACTATTTACATTATTCGGACTATTGTCGTCATATTTGTCGCCATATTTACTACAACGTTTCGACCGTTGTACGCTCCGGCTTTCTTCAGATGGTTGGAATGTCGAACTGAACCCTTTATTTCGCTCACTGGGGTAGACTGTTCTAGTTCCACGTGCCACGTCTAATGGATGTCAGTTATCAGTTATCTCCTGCTTAATTCCTCTCTCCAAGTTCTCCACTGCCTTAACCAGCTATTGAACTCACACTCTTTGGGTCCTGTCACTGGATCTAACTAACGCCTTTATCCACTGTGCCATGTATCCTTGAGATAGTGTACATAATACCTCATCTCAGAAATATAGACAGATGCTGAAGTTGGAGGCTAGTTTCCAAATTCTAAAGTCTTTGCATTAAATCCCAATCATTTGCTTTTCCATGATTCGTTCAAGAAATCAAACTTTCTTTTCAAAGATGCGGGAAGCTAAAAGACGGGAAATAAACTTTACTGACATTCATTATTCATTTCATTCAGTTAGCGCATTTGGCGCCGCCGCTGTGGTCACCACTCCCCTCCATCACACATTTGTGGTTCATGATGACATTCAAGGCAGAATAATGCAATGGCTTGCCGGTTCATTTTGCCCCGGGGGATGTCGACGCTACTCCGTCCCTCCTCTGAGAGGTGGATTTCTTTTTTGAAGTTACCTTCTAGACATTGCCGAAAGAGACAGGACCTACAAGACAGGAGGTGGGTTGAATTCAGAGTTTTCCTACTCTTAGACTGGTTGCCAACCAAGGCTATAGCACCCAGTCTGTCACACTATATACCAATAGCTAGGAAGTAGCACGTAAGTGAATGTAAATAACTCGACTGGAATTCGAACTCGGCTCTCCGATTCCTTAATCCGAATCGCTATCCACCATGCCTCCACTTATTTACATTAGTTGAAATAAATAAATATATTGCTTTTTCGGGTGCTGTTTTTTTCAAAATCTTTATTTTATTTTTATTTATATATTTATATATATATCATTATTAGTAGGAGTACTATTATTATTATTATTATTATTATTTCCTTTGATTTCTGGCGTGTACACATTTCTTTCAGGGTCCCGACCAGAGATCTAAGGTTAGAAATGGCATCATGACATTTTCCAGTGACTAATTAAAAAAAAACAAACACATATTTTATATAGATAAATTATTATTATTATTATTATTATTATTATTATTATTATTATTATTTGTAAATGAATGAAACCAATTCTCTTTAAATCCCCAGAACATTCTTCAGCAACTGCAAGCACCACCGTTTTCAATTCTTGGGAGAATTTTTAAATAAATCCATTCCAGATTCTTGTATTTTTGGTACGGTTCCAACTGAAACATTCACATTCACAGCCCTAACTTTTATAGTGATTTTTTAAATATAGCTTAGTAGTGGCACAAGGAGAGTAAGGAGCCCCCAGTGAGGATCGGACTCACAACTCAGTCATAAGTGATCGAGCGAGACAAAATTGCTAGCGATTACACCACGTTGCTGTGCCCTTTTTCTAAGCGTAGCTTAGATGTTGCACAAGGCTGAAAGCATGTTGCGCCCAGTGAGGTTTGAACTCATTCAATCTAGCGAGACAAGCTTGTTAACCATTACACCACGTCGAATCGCCCCTACCTTATCTTTTATATGCCACAAGTTTTCTCAGATCACCTGGCTAGATCCTGATGGTAGTTTTTCAATTTGTACATTTCTTTCGTTTTTCCTTGTGAGATCCTCTGACACAACCACATTTACGATTTGGTAGATGTTTCTTTTTAATTTATTTACCATTTTCGGAAGATTGCCTTTGAAATCCAAACTATTCTCAAGAAGGATAGACCCTGTAAAGCTAACTTACTCTAGACACAC